ACGCTGAAAAACCTGCGCCACTTCTAAGACAACAAACCTTCTCTGAGTTGCATTTATTGTCTTTTATCTAAACTATTGATTCATCGTTTGACTGAAATGAGCTGAGAAAGATGAACAATCTCCTAACTAGAACAGACGTCTTTGGAAAAAGCCTCGAATTCCCAGTGATGAAACACAGCTGACCCTGCTTCATCGAGCTCCCTCCTTCAGAGGACGATAAAGTCGTCCACACAGACGACAACGACACCAGAAACCGAGCTGGTTCTGAACTCCTGATGACAGCCCCCTGGAGACGACTAAACCAAAATAGAAAAAAACTGATAGTTTTCATAAAACATCGTGGTGAGGAGAGGGGAAAGGTGAGGAGACACGACATGAAAGCAAAGCCTTCACTCAGAAGATCACAGGAATCCAGGCTGCTTAGTGTCCCGATGAGTTAACAGACGCAGGAACGTCGCGTCTGATTTTGGTTCGGGGCTCCAAAACAAAACTCTAAACTCACAGAAAAATTCCATCCATCCATTTTCTGAAGGGTCTGCAGGGTGTGTGTGTGTGTGGTGGGGGGGGGGGGGTGGGGGGGGGGGGGGGGGCTGCTGCTTATCTCCAACGAGCAATCAGGCGGGGGTACACCCTGGACAGAGAGCCAGTCCATCGCAGGGCAACACAGAGACACACAGGACAAACAATCATGCACACACACACACACACACACACACACACACACACACCTGAGGACCATTTGGACACACCAATCAACCTAACAGTCATGTATTTGGACGGTGGGAGGAAGCCGGAGAACCCGGAGAGAACCCACGCATGCACAGGGAGAACATTGCAAACTCCATGCAGAAAGATCCCAGGCCGGGAATCGAACCCAGGACCTTCTTGCTGCAAGGCAACAGCTCTAACCACTGTGCCACTGTGCCACTGTGCAGCTCACAGAAAAATTAATCATTTAATCCAGAATGTAAAAGAACAGAAATAAAAAATTGTAGATGGATTCACTCCCGGGCTTTCGCGTGGGCTTACCTGGGCTACAGCCTGGGCCCCGGCGTGCTGGAGGCCCCGCCCTCGATCCCAAAAGCATTTTTATTTTTGTATGTAATTCGCTAACAAGATGTTACATGTAGCTGAGAAGCACTGGGATTTGTCATGACTGCTTATAATTGGTCCTAGTTTTTTCACACTCCTTACGTCACGGCGGCCCCAGTGTGCGGCGGCCGTGAACAGTGAGTGCCTCGTAATGGCGGACGAAACCAGAAAACACAACAGTGGAGCGCTGAAAAGAAAGAAGGAAAATGGGGGAACGCGACAAAGAGGTGCTTAAGAAAATACCAAAGCTAACAGGTTTTTTAACCACTGAGCGAAGATGGAGCTGCAGGATCATCCGTGCGTTCTGGAAACATTAGCTTTGCTAGCAGCATCGCAGTTCGGCCAGCTGATGTTCTAGCAGTTGCAGAGGAAACAAAGACGCCCGACTTGGGGGAACCTGCTGAGACCACGTCCACCATGGATTATCTTCTCCGCTGGAGAATGACTGTAGAAGATTGGCGGCAGAATCCGAGGCTGCAGAGAAGACTAAGACGACGACCCGGGGGGACCTACTGAGACCAGATAATGAATCAACAGCCTCATGGATTTAAAAGGCTTTTGATTCATTTTCTCCTTCTTGTCTGACTAAACTGCCTTAGGGGCTGCTGCCCCCGCGACCCGAATCCGGATGAGCGGAAGGGAATGGGTGGAGGAGAGTTTCTTAAGAAAGGAAATTTAGGTAAGAAATAAACAAATCGACAAACTTACAGAGAACTTTTTTAGCTTCCTTTGTTAGCATAAATGTTGCCCACCGACGAATGTTTTTGTCTCGTTGATTCAGGAACAAACTGAA